ACAAGTGCAAAAAGAAGAAACTGTTAACATAGAACTTACGGTTGCATGAAGCCATATCAACTGTAAAATGATGAAACTAGTCTAGTTACCACAGAGGAGAGTTCATCAGAACAATTACATATGAAAATAATTATTTATTGGAAATGCAGAAGAGAGGATGATTTATCCCGTGTGCCAAAGCGAGCATGTATATGCCTGGCGTGCAAAACGAAGGAAGGAAAGGAAAAAAGAAATATGACCGCCCTGACACCTTAATTTAAGAAAGACACGAACTCGGAGCTAAGAGAATTGACGAAAGAGGTTGCAAATATTTTGCGAGATCAGCTCGGCATAAAAAACACCACGTGAGACAGAATAGACAGTCCACGTGTTGCTGCTTGTACGGAGAAACTTCGTCAGTTGGAAAGAGATTACTTGGGTCAGTTTCATACAGAAAAGGCACAGAGAAGCTACGTTACAAGTAACCTGTTGTATAGCTGTCAGTTGATGTATGGCATATTGTCCTGTGTGTCCACATTCATAAAACACGCCACGCTGTACACATTATTTAGAACCCCGCTCAATTTCATTTTTATTTCACTGGTGAGATGTAAGTTCCACTCGAACAGCCCTCTCCCGCAAATTGCTGTTTTGTGGAACCGACTCCCAAGAGGATGCTTCCTCGATCTCTACAATCTTAGCCTGTTCAAATCTTCCCCACATATCCGCATAAACTGTCTCTTACTCTGTAACCCTCTACCTCGAGTGGCTCTTGAGTCATGTACAAGATGATTTTTACTGTAAAAGTGAACTTCATTGTACCTTAAAAGCGATTGTTATAAAGCGGCGAGTATAGCTATGAGCAAAAAATGCAGGAAGCTGTGGAGAGCCATGATTGCCCATGTCCTGAAGAGACAATATAGATAGAAAAATCAGAGGAAGCATTAAACTGATAAAGGAAGACGCACCACAAAAAGGAAAAGAGGGATAATAAAAGAAAAAAACGGGTATTAAAGAACAGCAAAAGAAAGGAATGTGTGGAGGGCCGTGATCATTCGTATCCGGAAGGAGCGCGTATTATGGGGGAGGGGGGTCGGAATGTATAAATGTATGAACCCGTATGTTAAATCAATGATGATATAGAAAGGAGCACCTTTTCTTCGCAGACGAATGGTCGAATTCCCTATAGTGTCGACAGCCCTTTAAAAGATTGATTCCACCATCTGCATGGCAGGCCGACTGATTTTACAAAACAGCTGGTCGGCATGCAGACTGGCGCACGGGACGACGATCGTTTTTTTTTTTTTTTTTTTTCCCCTTTTTTTGCCTTCTCCCTTTTCTTGTACAAAATAAACTCGTCCGGGCATTACCCCGCGTACAATTAACCTCCTACTCTCATAACCAGCTTCTTCCTTCTTCTCGTTTTTTATTCTCTGCTCCTACTCTCATAGTCACGCCTCCTCATACTGAAAGCCTCTATCCCCAGTGAGTTCCTCTTCCTTCCATTAGGGTATCACCTTTTCTACACTTTTCTTTTTCCTAGCTCTTTATTTCGCTCGCCGACATTCTTCTTCTTCTTCTTCTTCTTCTTCTTCTTCTTCTTCTTCTTCTTCTTCTTCTAATGTTTTTCTTCTTTTTCCCTTTTCTTCTTCTTTTCCGCCTTTTTCTTCTTTTTACTTCTTTTTTCTTCTTTTTCATCTTTTTATTCTTTTTACTTCTTCCTCCTCTTCTTCTTTCTTCTTCTCCCTCTTCTTCTTTTATCTCGCTTCTTCTTTTAATGCTTCTTCTTCTTCTTTTTCATATTCTTCTTCTTCTCCTTCTTCTTCTTCTTTTATTCCTCTTCTTGTTTTAATGCTTCTTCTTCTTCTTCTTTTTCATCTTTTTCCTTCTTCTTCTTCTCATTTTTCTTCTTTTTTCTTATACTTTTTCATCTTCTTTTTCTTCTTTATCCCTCTTCTTCTTTATCCATCTTCTTCGTCTTCTTCTTCTTGTTCTTCTTCTTCAAAAACGTTTGCTTTCTCTTACGCTTTCACTCTCTCTTTTTTCAGTATTAACCTACATATATTCTTTGAATGTTCTTTGTATTCCTCCTCCGATCCTATCACGTTCGTAGCTGTAATCGCAACAGGGAAAAGAATTAGAATACCGAGTTCAAGTTTCGGCTTAGTCAGTTACATTCACATCATCATAATCTCCGTAAATGTCACGTCCCCTCGCTGTCTTCAGCCTAAAGTTGTTTTTAGTAAATGTCTCGTACTCTCGTTGTTGATCTAAGGTAATCTCCGCAAATATCACGTTTCTTCGCTGCCTTCATCCCTTCGTTGTTCTAATATAATCTTCATAAATATTACGTTCTTTTGCTACCTTCATCCTTAAGTTGTTTTTAGGTAATCTTTGTAAATATCACGTTCCTTAGCTGTCTTCAGTCCTAAGTTGTTCTAATGTAATCTCCGCAAATATCATGTTTTCTTGCTGTCTTCAGTCTTAATTTGCTCTAATGCAATCTCCGTAAATATCACGCTCCCTAGCTACTTTCAGCCTTACGTTGTTCTAATGCAATCCTCGTAAATGTCACGTTTCCTGTCTACTTTAAATTTATGCTATTTTAAGTTAATCTTTGTAAAAATCATATCGCACTTTCGTTTTCAGTCTTATGGCGTTCTAATCTCATCTTCATAAATATCAGATCTCACTATTGCCTTGTGCAATTTTACACTTTCAAATATTCTGACCCTTGGCTGGCGTTGGTATTGTTCCATTCTAATTTAAGCTTCATATATACCAAATCTCAGCACCCCCCTTTGTACAGTTCTGAATTAATATCTACACCTATCAATGACGTTTTGCCTTAGACTGTGCTAATCTTAGCAAAGTATATATCAAATCTCATGTTTTCCTTTCGCCTGATGTCTTTTTTAAATTAATTTTCGTAAATACCAAGTTACAGTGATGCCGCTGGCCTGATACAGTTCTGTATTAATCATAGTAAATATCGATCCTGATGCTTACCTGAAATCCTGTGTCCATCTTAGCTAATATTAATAAACATTGAGTCTTATCTCTTCTTCTTGGGCTTATGGCATTTTGTGCTGATCATTATACTCCAATAAACGAGCAGTTGTTTTCCAATCTCCAAAATGTTAATAAAAAGCACAGGGGTCTGCAGATAAAAAGAGGTTATTTTTTTTCATTGTCCGCGTCTTTATACCATAGGCTTTAAGCTTGTGAAGAAGGCCGGTATATATAATTTTGGTACAGTAAGAATACAAAGTTTCGACTGATGTAATGAACAAATATTGAAATACTGATATAAAAGTGATACAAACAAAATAATAAATTTCCAATTACAAAGTTTTCCAAAGTACAGCAAAATCCCAGAAATCTTAAGACCACAAACCAATGACAAGAACGTCTAGAGACTAATTATTTTTTTAACCATTCAATTGTTTAATATTCGGATTGCGAGCGAGGAGTTTTCTCTTGCTTTGACTTTCCCTCAAAATTCAAAACTAATCACATGAACGAAAAAGGGCACAGTTGAATTGTGGGATTTGGGATGACTCCGCAAAAACGTTGTTTCCCCTTGTAAACCCTTGTGCAAATCAATTGAAACAAAACGAATAATTCCGTTATTATTTACTTTTCTTTCGTATTTTTTCCAATGAAACATGACCCAGTGCACATGTTAGTACTTCGTATGGCCATTCCACAAAGTCGTTCTTTGACCACGGATTCTTGACTGGATTTAAATCAGAAGAGTTTCCGCGTCAGTCTCTAGTACTTTGATTTGCTCATTGTTAAGGCTTTCCAGTGTGTTCGTGCAGCATTAAAATTTTAGTACGCTTCCTTGGAGTAACGTCCATCGCTGACAATGGCCGTAGGACAACTAATCGACAGTCGAGACAATAGTGTCCGCGCGTGATAAAAATCTGATGCAATCACGGATGACGCAATATTTTTCAAGGCCAAATAAATTTCATCATACACCCCGAAAATAGATTCGTATTGCTGCACACCACTTAAAAATGACCTAATCTGAGGAAAAATAGAAATCGATTACACCCTGTCACTCCAGTGGGTCTAAAACTGACCGTATCGTGAAAGAAAGGAAACTAAAGCGGTTTTTTCAATTAATTTGCACAACGGTGTAAATTATAAAATACAATTAACCCTACCTAGGTTTATTAGCACACCATTCAGCGACATCTACACTGCCACCAAAATTAAAACGACTTATGGAGAATTTTCAGTATATTCAATAAAATTATAATTTTAATCTCGAATGAAGTCCTTTGAAGAAAGAAAAATATGTTCCTTTTGAAGAAATGATAGTCGTGGATTTTCTACTAGTACAACCAATTTTTGAATTCGGCGTTCAAGCAGACATTTTATCCCCACATTTTTTTTATATGACCAAGTTGTAGCTTGATCTTTCACCAGTAATCCAAACCGTGTCAAATGACTTCAAGATATCTAAAGCCATAGCCCGAGCCTCGACATTCTTTCTAAAACCTGATAGACAAATTTAGTAATAATCGTTAACAAATGTGAGAAATATTTATACTATTTACATAATTGGGATTGTTATCCGCATGTCTATTGACATATTCCTGACGTTTCGGCCGTTCAACGCTCTGTCCTTCTTCAGGTGATATCAGATGAAATATTGAACCGAACCCTTTATTTAGACAATTTTCTTTCGTTTTTATTTTCTTTCTTTCTTATTTTCTTTCATTTTCATTCACATTTCGTTCTTTCTTTCTTTCTTTCTTCATTTTTATTGTCTTTCTTTGCTTTTTTTGTTTGTTTATATATTTCTTTGTACCCAGGGTTTTAAAAAAAAAATATTATTTCGAAATTAATACATAGTGTAGGAGGCAAAAGGAAATCACTCCATCATCTAGCCCAATTTTGACAATATACAGTCGATAGATAAAAACGAAGCTGTGGAGAACCGTTATCACTTGTGAGGGATAGGTAAAGCAAAAGTTAAAAAAAGAGAGACCTAGTCAGAGTAATAAGAGAGAAAAAGGTAAAGAGAAAGTGTGTATGTGTGTGTGTGTGTGTGTGAGCGAGAGCGAGAGAGAGAGAGCGAGAGAGTGAGAGAGAGAGGTCTATTCAAGGGCACTGAATTCTCTGGTATGTCTCATGAGATGAGATCTAATAGCAATGCATAGAAATTGCATTTGACGCTTTATATATAGAGTTCGACAGATATTTAATCTGCAAATACTGAATTGAAGAGAGCTTTATTGATTTTTATGCTATTTATTGATAATAAAAGAAGCTAATGTTTTTAAATAACACACGATGTGAATACTATATAGATACAAGAATAAGTACCTTGGCGTATACGCGTATGTGTGCATGTGCGTGCCTGTGTGTCAATGTCCAAGAAGAAATATTTCTCGAGAAGGCATGCATCCAGAATCAGGTTAATTAGCAGAGTTTTAAATATATATCCACACACACACACATATATATATATATATATATACATATGAAGTACCTGAATATGTATATATATATATATATATATATATATATATATATATATATATATACGTAAATCTCTTCATATATATGTATATATATATGAAGAGATTTACGTATGTACATATATACACACGCACACGCACGCAAACACACACACATATATATATATATATATATATATATATATATAGAGAGAGAGAGAGAGAGAGAGAGAGAGAGAGAGAGAGAGAGAGAGAGAGACACCTCGACGTGGTGTAATGGTTAGAAAGCTTTTCTTGCTACATCAATTACGACTGAGTAGTGAGTTCGATGCTCACTGGGTGCTCCATACTTTCGGCCTTGTGCCACATGTTGTCTAAATTACGCATGAATGAAAATAACACTAACAGATATATTTACAAAAATTACAGACAAATATCTTGAAATACAAAAGAGGAAATTTATTCAATAAAATCACCATTGGTTGAAACTTCGGGACCTCCTGCGAATCTTCTGGAGGCTCTCCTTATTTAAGTTGGTGAATGCTACCATAATCCTTCCCTTCGGTTCATCTTTGTTGTTACGACAAATTTTGTTAGTCTCTCGCTCAACTGCATCCCACACATGATAATTAAAGAAATTGCAGTCTGAGGAGTTAGGTAGCCAGATTTAAGGGGTGATGTGATCGCAGAAATTATCTGCTAACCATGACTGTGTTCTCCTGCTTGTGCGGCATGGTACAGAGTTCTATTATATGATATAGGATCTTCCAGCAGTCACACTCTTGACCCAGAGCAGCACTACCTCCTTAAGATACATGATGTAGGCCTCCGTGTTGAGTATAATTCTCTGTGGGAAGATAAATGGAGGCATAACTTTGCCATCCCTAGTTATCAATGCAAACACCCTTCGTAATCACTCTTAGACTCATCCTTTCCGAATTCTCTGTAATGTTTTCAGATTGACACCCAAACATTCTGAAACGTTCCTATTGGATCTTCTGGTGCGAATACCAAGCAGTACTGTCTGCTGTTTTCAAATTTCTGGCGGAGTGAATTGCGTTATGGTGCTTTTTTCTCATAGACGGTGCCCAACTGACCCCACTATACTTTGCAGTCGTCAAAATCAAAACCAACGCGTATCCGCTAAATTAAAAATATAAAATGATGACAATATAGCCATCGTAACCAGTATATACACGTATATATACAGATACACAGATTTATGTATGTAAATAAACATATATACAAAAATTGTCACTCTGCATATATATATATATATATATATATATATATATATATATATATATATATATATATATATATATATATATATAGTATATTAAAAAAAATTAAAAGTGAAAAAATTTCAAATCGTAGTTAAATAAAGCGTATTCTAAAAAAAAAAAAAAAAAATTAAAATTACTACTAACCAACAGATGCCGGTAAAATTTTTAGGGTCTACTTTTATTGATTTACGCTATATGTTGGGTGTGATTTTGGTCATGATATATATATTGAAAATATTAATAATATCCTGATCAGGTTCTCTGGAAAACTTTTTTTTTTTTATAAATACCAGTGCGGGATGAAAAGTTCATAGGTTAACTATGAAGGAGTGATTCTCGGTGAAGTCGTGCATGCATTAATTTCAACTTTTCTTATTAATAACGGTATTGCTTCTTTCTAGGTACGTAGAAAAGCTGAAATGTTCATAGGCTGACTATGAAGGAACGATGCTAGATTTGTGAAGTCTTGCACGCATTAATTTCAAGTCTTCTTATTAATAACAGCTTTATTTCTTTCCAGTTACGAGTATGGGCTGAAAAGTCACTGTTGTTTTGAAGTGATGGATCACTCTCCGTATTCTCTTGAGTTGACTATGATCTGTTCTCCAGCATAACGTCATATCTGCTGTTGTTGGCTTTTTTGACCAACAAGATGAAAAGCTTCTTCGCCAATGGGATCCAAGAACTGCAACACCGATGGAAGGAGTGTGTGGACTGCAAGTGGGGGGGGGACTATGTAGAAAAATATACCTCATTTGGCTACATTCCATAACAGTATCTTGGTCAGCCTAAGAACTTTTCAGCCGACACCTGAAGAAGGCCGGAGAGTCCAACAGCCGAAATATTATGACCATGTCAACCAAGATGACGTCACACGTTAAACTCTTGTATCGGAAACAAGAATCAGTTATTTTTTCTTAGAATCTAGATTCATTTAAATATCTGAGATGTGTTTCAACAGAGGACAGAAAAGACGTAACCTGAAATCCGAACACTTACTGGGATAGAGAAAGATGCTTCCCAGAAGCCCTTTATTTCGCTCACTGGGGTAGACGGTTCTAGTTTCACGTGCCATGTTTAATGGATGCCAGTTATTAGTTATCTCCTGCTAATTTCCCTCTGAAAGTTCTCCACTGCCTTAGCCGGGTATTGAACTCAGACTCTTTGGGTTATGTCACTGGATCTAACCAACGCCTTTATCCACTGTGCCATGTGTCCTGAAGAAGGCCGGAGCGTACAACGGTCGAAACGTTGTGATAAATATGGCGACAAAGATGAGGACAATAGTCCGAATAATGTAAATAATGTAAGAAGAGGCAGTTGAAATTTCTCTGACACATAATGAGGAAAGAGTACTCGGAAAATTTGACACTCACAGGACAGGTTCAAGGCAAGAGGGACGGATCAAAAAAGGCATAACCTACCTAGGGATTTTGAGTAAATGGATGAATTAAATAGAAGTTCATTTCTCTTTGTGATAATTTTTGTTTGTGTGTTTTGCTGACAACCGCAGTAACGTTTTATTTATTTCCTGACCCAAGAACTCAAGTAAAATAATTGTTTATCTCTTTCTGCGATATTTGCTAAGAATTCTGTACGCAAAGAGTTAACATTATGCAAAATCGAAGAGACGAGACCAGCAAATATCACGAAATTCATGATTCACACCAAAATGGCATGTTGACCCGTGGGAGGTCAAACCAGAACGATCGGGTCACGTTTCTCGAGAATGGTGAAATATAAAGTAAATATTTTCGTGCCATTTCAAAGGTCAGGAAATTTTTTTTTCTGAAGTCAAGTAAATAGAAAATACTCCAAAAATAAACAAAAGAGGCAATGAAAATATTGTTAAAAAGAGTTTTACCAATTTTGACGTCAATGCATGTTATACAACTCATGCTAATCATGACCCATACCTCAACACTGACACATACGAGCGTGGGGTTGCGAAAAAATATTCTCGACCCAATCATTTTGCCATAATCTAAGCGGTATATTGCCACTGTAACTGGACAAAGTTTTCTTTTATATTTTAAAATGCTTGTTTCAGATCTTTGACTGACGCATGTCAACAGAAAAGGTGGGGAACTTTTCAATTATTGAATACCGTTCCCGCAGAGAAAAGCACGAAAGGAGAATCATGAATGTATTTTTATACTATCTTCCAACCAATACAAAGCCTAAGAGCCACTCAAAGTAGATGGTTATAAGGGCGTGGAGCAAGGAAGTATAATGCATATTATGAGGAGGTATTTGGATAGATAACGGTTAACTCTAGACTTAAAGAAGTCGGAAAGTGATTGATTTTTTACGGCTTATCAACCTTTTGCAGTTTATTTAAATCCAGAAAATATTTTTAGATTGTATGACTTTTGGGGAGATATTAATGATTCACTAATATAAGGCCTACTTATTAACCCATATCATGGGGGAGAAGAAGTGTATACATAACTTCCTTAAGATTATTTGCGCGTAAGTGAATATAACGAACCTGACTGGAATTGAAACACCGATCACCGATTTCCAACTTACCCATTGCACTAACCGTACATAGAAGCTTACAGTACCTGATATTCCCAAATAGTCAATTATCTAGGTACTGAACAGGCTCAACATTGCTTAACTTCGGTCATCGTATGAGAACCGGTGTTTCAGCGTGATATGGCCGTAAGCCCGTAATTATCGTAATATATATATATATATATATATATATATATATATATATATATATATATATATATATATATATGTATGTATATTACAGGATGGATAAGGAACAAATAAGAAATGTTAATAAATTTCGCTTTTATTTCAGCTTCATCAGAAATGAAATATGGAATAGAAAAGAAAATTATCTATATAATACATTTTTCTCCCCCCTCTCTCTATATATATATATATATATATATATATATATATATATATATATATATATCAAGTATAGGATTGGTGTATACGGAATAAGTTTCAATAACCAACAAATACTATTCTTAAAAGAGTGCTCAATACAGAGCGAATATAATTATTTATTTAAAAATTATAACATAACTATGTTATAAAATCACTACGAAAATACCCATTTTGTTTCAACACCTCTGGTGTCTTATCAAGTGATGATGTTTTTATAACATATTTATGTTATAATTTTTAAATTATATATATATATATATATATATAGTCATAAGGTGTGCTATATTTATGGGATAAAGTACTCAAATTCAGAGGCAGAGCGTGTGTAAATATAAAATTGATTGCGTCTAGCATGAAACAGACTGTCGCCTCTAAGTGTTGACTTCAATGTTCACTTATATATATATATATATATATATATATATATAGCAATCTAGTATTATATATTATTCTATCTTTCTCTAACTTAATTTACTTTAGTCTTTTCTTTCTTTCTTTCTTTCTTCGAAATGAAATTATTCATATCTATCTATCTATCTATCTATATCTTGTTACTCATATTTTTCTTTCTATTTTTTTCATTCATTCATTCATTCATTCTTTCTTTCTTTCTTTCTTTCTTTCTTCGAGATTAAGTTATTCATATCTATCTATCTATCCTACCTCTTTTCTTGTATATTTTCTTTCGTTTTTCTTTCTTTGTTCATGATTAAGTTTTTCCTATCTATCTATCTATCTATCTATCTATCTATCTATCTATCTATCCAACTTATTTTACTTACCTCTTTTCTCACATATTTTTCTTTCTTTCTTTCTTTCTTTCTTTCTTTCTTTCTTTCCCTTTTTGAGATTAAGTTATTCATATCTATCTATCTATCTATCTACCTATCTTACCTCTTTTCTCGTATATTTTCTTTCGTTTTTCTTTCTTTCTTTCTTCATGATTAAGTTTTTCCTATCTATCTATCTATCTATCTATCTTATTTTACTTACCTCTTTTCTCACATATTTTTCTTTCTTTCTTTCTTTCTTTCTTTTTCTTTCTTTCTTTCTTTGAAATTTGCGTTCCGTTTTAGTCAGCCTTATCTAATCACCTACTAGTAGTTTGAGAACACTAGTGACTCTCTTCGTTGTCTCACTGGGGCCCCTACCATGACTCATCTGATCCCGTAGTTCTGAGTCACGGCACTCTTCTTTAACATTATTTTAAAGTACATATTTGGTCCAAAATGTCTGTTTTGGATTATACATATAAAACCCGGAACGACCTTATAAGTTTGCGATTGTTTTGTTTACAGAGTGAAGGGGAAAGATGGAGAAAGCAGGAAGAAGTGTATGAAAAAGACAAAGAAAGAAAAAAGAAGAGAAAGAAAGAAAAAGAGGAAAAAGTAAAAAAAAAAAAAAAGAAAAGAAAAAGGAATAAAAAATGCAAAGAAAAGAAGGAAATAAAGTAAAGGATGAAAAGAAAGAAAAAAAAACAAGAGGGCGAAACGAAAAAGAAAATAAATGAAAATAACAAAGGAAGAAATTAAGAAAACAACGAAACTGAGAAAGAAAGAAAGAAAGAAAGAAAGAGAGAAAGAAAGAAAGAAAGAAAGAAAGAAAAAAGAAAAGACAGTTAATTGTTCATCAATAGAGTGAGCGGAGAAAATGAAATACAGATGGTAATAGAAACAAAGAAATAAAACAAGAAAAAAGAAAACGTACGAAAACGTAAAAGAGAAAACAAATACAAAAGAAATAGAAAAGAAAGAAAAAACGAAAGAAAAAGAAAGGAAAAGTAAAAGGAAGAAAAAGAAAGAAAGAACATGGAATAAAACGAATGGAAAGAAAGATAAAAAAAGAAAGGCAATAAACAAGAAGGAAAGAAAAAAGAAAAGAATGAAGATAAAAAAAAAACGTAAGGAAAAACATAGAAAGAAAGGAAAGTTGACAGCAATAAAAGGAAGTGAGTGAAGAATTAAGAAAGAAAAAAACAAATGAAGAGAGAAAGAAAGAAAGAAAGAAAAAGAAGAAACAAAGAAAGGAAGAAAGAAAGAGTTAAAGAAAAGGGTGAGTAAAAGAAAGAAGAGTTAATAGTTCATCAAGAGAGTAAGCGGAGAAACAAGAAAAGATGGAAATAAATAAAGATGGTAAAAGAAAAAAAAAGAAAGAAAAACAAGAAAAAGAAAATAGGAAGTTAGGAGAATAGAAAGTTTTTTTTTCTTTTTCTCTCCAGAATAAAACTTCACGAGAAAAGTCATGAAATTTGAGCAGATACGACTGAAACATATGCAAATCAGATTGCTTGCGATATATGCAAATCATCATCATCAATCGAATTTGGGGCAGAAGGAATTACTTATATTGCAAACAGATACACCAGTTTCTTGTATTCATGTGTGCGTGATTTCTTTTAATTTTCCGAGCTTAAATTATTCTGGTTCAAGGTCACATTTATGGAGCACGGACTGATTACTCAGCAGCAATGGTCAACAATTGCTCTAAGTCGAGGCCGACTGTTTCTGTCGCTTCTCTCAACATTGAATTTCAGCTGTCACCGTAGTACGGTGACAAGAGCAATGTACCCTCTTTGCTCTCTTGCTGATGGTAATACTCTTAGCGTTAAACCGACACATTGGTCTACAGACGCAATACACATACTACTGAGTATAAAAAAGACGGGAAGAATTTTAAGGGGTACCCGTCATTCAAATGAGAGATTAGATGATGCCATTGTTAGAAGTACAGATGTATACAGCAGAACGCAAGAAACACTAATATTTGCGTATATAGCTGCTATCCAACAATATCTATCTATCTATCTATCTATCTATCTATCTCCATTCAAACCTACCTCCTCAAATAAATGTGTGCATAAATTAAAAATGGCAATACATAATTCTCCTTATGCCTGGAATATTTGTCATCCATTTCTTTGTATGTAAATACTCGATCTGTGGAATTAGGATCGAATTTCGATCCTAAGGAAAGACGTTATAAGCATCATGAAATCTTAAAGATGTCTGTTTCTTAATATTAATTAATATTTACTCTGTTTTTACATTGAGCTCTCTGGATTATATCCCCCTTGGAATGATCCATATGGATTACCAAACAGATCATTAACTACATATATATATATATATATATATATATATATATATATATATATAAAGTGAACATTGAAGTCAAAACTCACAGGCAACAGGCTGTTTCATGCTAGACGCAATCGATTGTCTCCTCTGAGTGTTGACTTCAATGTTCACTTTTATATTTATATTTACATATGCTCAATCTCTGATATTGAGCACTTTATCCCATAAATATAGCACACCTTAAAACTTTCTTCATATATATATATATATATATATATATATATATATATATATATATATATATATAGGCAAACTCTTTTTATACATGTTTCATTAAAGACGACAGACAAGGTACTGCGATTAAGTTTTTTATTTAATTTTCTTCTTATATTCGAACAAGAGTTTTCTTTCATGGACACAGAGTGTGTAGAAACTGTCCAAATGTTTTGGCGCCCTGGGTATGACGATAAACTGCATCCGCGTCCTGGGTAAGACGATAAACTACATCCAACAGCAAGGCCTTTGAACAGGAGGTTTTGAGGAGCATGGCACCACCTCTTAATTGCTGGTGTTCCCAGGTCCACCCAGACTCGGCGTTGTAGCACCTGTCAGGGTCCCAGCTATAGGCAAATAGTTAAACTCCCCCAGAAGGGGAAGTCAAAACACTATGAAAGTATAAAAGTAGGTTTTTATACGAGCAATAAATTTTTGAAAAAAATATTGCCAGAAGTACATTTTTGAAGAAGAAAGATATTGCCAGCAAAACATTTTTGAAGAAGAAAGATATTGCCAGCAAAACATTTTTGAAGAAGAAAGATGTTGCCAGCAAAACATTTTTGAAGAGATATTTCCAACAATATAGTTTTGAAAAAACATATTACCAGCAATAAAAATCTTGTCGGCATTAAATAACCCATTGAGGTTGATATGCCGTAAAACAAAACAAATCAATGAGACAAACAAACAAACAAACAAACCAACTGTTCTTTAATTCTGAGCGCTTTCATCTCTTTCTTATTTTTACTTTTTAACTAGATGTATAGGTTGTGTGTATGTATCTAGAGTTATAGGTTTTGTATTTACCGAACACGGATAGCACATTGTGGCCGTGTTCATAGTTAATATTATTGAGTGTTGGTCTTTTCGTTTTTATTATTAAGGCTTCCATTATTATTTGTATAGTTTCTACACACTCTATGTCCAGAAAAGAAAACACTTTTCGAACACAAGAAAATCACAGTACGTTGTTTGTTGTCTTTAATGAAACTTATATATATATATATATATATATATATATATATATATATATATATATATATAATGCTCTGTAAATTTAATAATAATTAATATATATATTATATATATATTAATGCTCTGTAAATTTAATAATAATTAATATTCTCTGTAAATTAACATTGAGCACTATTTAAAATAAAATAAAAATATCTATATATCTTAACACCGGATTCATATATATATATATATATATATATATATATATATGTGTGTGTGTGTGTGTGTGTGTGTGAAATATATAGAAAATAGGGAAAGAACTCGTTAGGTAAATATTCCAAAGTTCTTTAGTATTTTTGTTATTATTTTTAAAAAAATAGTGCTCGATACAAAAGTAGAGCCTAAATATAATTATTTATTTAAAAATATCATTCCAAGGCTACATAAGAGTTCTCGTGTTTCAAAACAAGAGCCGAAAACTTCAATATAATTATTTGAATTAAATTGAATGAAAGTACCAAGCTTTGTTCCATCTTCAAGCGAAGAATTCAATTTAATTCAAATTCTCTGTACACGACTAAGCTTAATTTAATAAATCTCAGAGTATCCTCCATCATGCAATGGTTAAGGAATTCGTCTTGTGCATGAAATCATTCATGACGTGTGGCCTTTTGTTAACCAAAGTTAAACTTACTTAATAATTATTAGGTTGAGTCATAAGTCATTTAATTTTCTGAACAAATTGTAATGACTAATGCATTCTCAGACCCAGAACTACCGCCAGTCACGATGAACGGATGTCCCACTCGAGGAGGCACCGTGATTTGGGCCTCATACCCGACCCTCATGTGGAACTCACATATACGATCCATTGCTACAAATTCTGGAGAAGTGGTCGGTTCCTTGTAACACTCCAGTAAGTACCTGACTCCTCCGACTATGCTCTGTCTTTCAGTTATGGACCATGCGTGATACACGATGACGAGGCATATTTTTTCCCGCAGTAGGTTGCCATTTCTTTCTGCGGTAGACCAACTGCCATCCAAGGCTATAGAACCTGGTCTGTCCTGCTATTTAACCATAGCTGGGGAGCGAAGAAGAGGATTCATACCTTTCCCAAGGGTATTAGCACGTAAGTGAATGTAATGGATTCGACTAGAAAGTCAGTCAGTCAGTTAGGTGCCATGCGTGATACACGCTTAGGCGATCATGTATCTTTCGATACATGACTAATGAGGCTGTTTTTCCCGCAGTAGGTTGCCATTTCATTCTGCGGTAGACCATTTGTATTCCAAGGCTATAGAACGCGGTCTGTCCAGCAATTTACCTATAGCAGGCAGAAGAAGAAGAGGATTCATACCTTTCCCAAGGGTATTAGCATGTAAGTGAATGTAATGGATTCGACTGGAAAGTCAGTCAGTCAGTTATGTGCCATGCGTGATACACGCTTAGGCGATCATGCATCATTCGATACATGACTAATGAGGCTGTTTTTTTCCCGCAGTAGGTTGCCATTTCTTTCTGCGGTAGATCAGCTGCCATCCAAGGCTATAGAACCTGGTCTGTCCTGCTATTTACCCACAGCTGGGGGTGGTGGAGAAGGATTCATACCTTTCCCAAGGGTATTAGTACGTAAGTAAATGTAATGGATTCGAATGGAATTCGAACTCGGCTCTCCGAATCCTCAATTCGAGACGCTATCTATTACTCCATTACTCCAGCGTGCTCTATCTTTACAAGAGCCAGATCAGGCCAGATATGGAGTACTGATGCCATATCTGGGCTAGAGCTTCCCAGTTCACTTTCCAACCTTGATAGACTGAAAATGCACCTACGCTACCTTGTGGGTGATGAATTATTTTTCACCCTACAACCCACTTTCTCACAGATGAAACGTTGCATGCCTCTTGCTACTTTATCGCTATTTCCATGGAAAATGTTCAGAGGAAATACATTCTTTGTTTCTTTTAGTCCTAACCTTGACGGCTAAGACCCGCCATACCACGCATATTGTAATCGAAAGAGCTATAAGAGTTAGTGGACATGAGAAATCTAATTTTCTGAAAAACTGCTTTAAAAGGAAGATTGTAAAAATTTCAACCGAGAGTAATGGTGTTTAGTCAATGAATGCAAATGTTTCCTTATAAGGAAACGGTTAATCTCACCATTATGATTACCAACAAATATCCATTATCTCATACTTCCTTTCTTCTCCTAACACTTTCCTGTATCTTCTCATTCTCCCCCTTACCCTTTCCAATATTCATTTCCCGCCTATTATTTTTTTTATTATTATTTAAAGGCAATAATTTTATACACAAGATTTTTTAAAAGGGTCGTATTTTTAATATTTAAAACCTGTTCCTACAAATTTAAAGTACTGTTCCTACATTTAATAACTAATAAACTTTACTTTTTTTTTTACAAATAAATATATTAGAATTACATTCGTATTTAAAAAATCATTAATCAAATATCAAGTATAAATATATGTTCCATCTTTAATCTTTTTCAAAATTAATTAATTAATTAATTAATTATTAATTAATTATTTAAGGAAAATATTTGACAGTGTCAGCAAAAAATAGGTATTCTTTGACTAAGTAAATTTTTATTTTCAAAAACTTAATAATGTATAATTTTTCATGTATGAACAAAGGACATGGGGTCATTTAATGACCTACAAGCTTTAGCTTTTCTTATTAATTTCCATTTTACTGTTGGTGTTTTATTGGTTTCTTTTAAGTGCCAGAAATATTTCAAATATTTAGTAGAGTATAAAATGATGTCAAATTTTTTGGCTGGGGCGGGGGGCACCCTGTATAACTGAATAAAATTTAATTGTACTTTTTCTTTAAAGAATAAAGTTGATAAGCCAAAACGGAAATTATTTATGACAATTTAACATATACCCTGACAAACATTGTATATTAGTATATAAAGAAATGCAGCTCGTGACTACAAGAATCTGAGCGTTTCTTTTTGGAAAAATGTTCGCAAAATGAAATCTTATTATTCTTGTTAGCGTTACGAATTTTTTTTTCATACAGATTTTGTTATTATTTACTAAGCTTAGCCCTGTTTGGCTCAAGGTCACATATTATTATTGTTTCTTTTGTCAATATTGTTAATAACATATTAACATGTTGATATCGGCAATAATATGAGTGAGAAAACTTGTATTAGTATTTCGACTGTAGCTAAAAATGTCGTCTCTATTATTATTTACTGTTGACTTTCTATCGATTTTGCGCAAAATACAAAGAGGCTATTTTTTTCGTTTGAAATGTTCGTCACGTTTTTGTCCGCTTGCCACCGTGGTGTTCTACTCGATTTTGGCAGAGTCAGGAACGGTGCAAAATCGAATAATAAAACGTTGTTATTTGAATCAATAAACCATAAAACTCGTGAAATAGGGGCCCTTTTTTTTATTACTGTTGGGTGATATTATTGTTTTAGTTTCACGTTGGCATTTTAAAGTTGTTGACTGATAGATTTATTTGTTTTTTACGACTTATCAACACTTTTGGGGTTATTT